CGAAATCCCCTAAAAGCAAAAGATTATTTTTATCAACGTGGATAAAAGTAAATGTGATTTTCTATGTAAAAACCCTAAATAAAAATAATGCAATCAGGTAGGAAACTATTAGAGAAAATCAATAATAACAAACACTGAAGTAATGTAACCAGCAACCATCATGTTCAACAGAACATATTCACAGAACAAAGAAGCACTGGCGGCGCTGAGGCACCGGGATGGCCATAGCCCCACCCTCCCCCCTAAAAAAATTAACAATAATAATAATAATTAATTAATTAATTAAAAAAAAAGCTTTTGATCATATATAATGTATACGAGCCTATATGATTATTTTCAATATAGTCCCTTGCATCTTTAATATTCTGAACTTAGTTCCTCAGATCATAAAATTGTATTACATCGTCGAATTCTTAGGTAATTTTGAAATTAGACCCCAAAATCATTGAAATTGCAATTAGATATCCGAATTCTAAAGGTATTTTGGAATTTAAAATTACTCACTAAAATCATTAAAACTTCTATTTAGATCCCTAATGCTTATAGGTTTTTCAAATTAATCCATCTAATCGCAATGTCCTCTCTTGGAGCGACTAATTTTAAAATATAAAAAAGATTTGTGGGCCTATTGTTGAGAACGACTAAGCGGCTAAGATATGAAAGTGGTTTAGATATGAACTTGTGGATCCCTATAATTAACAAATATAATATTACCCCTAATTAAACCAAGTCCTTTTTTTTTCCTTATTATCATTAGAAATAAATTTAATGATATAATTAGTAGTGTAATGTCAATCTGTTAGGTATTCAAAAAAGTATTGTGTAGTTTATGGTTATGAAAAATCAACTAAAATTGATACGCTTTTAACACTTTTAGAAAATCGAAGCATGTTATTTGATGGGTAATGATTTAAGTATTCATGAAAATAATTTTTGCAAAACTTTTACTCTAGGTTCTTCTTTCACCTACTTACATAATATGAAAATTATCATATTAGATTGCTTTTTTCATGATGTATATAAATCAAGCAATCATAGTATATTTTCTGCAAGGAAAAGGGACAAATCTCTCACAAATTCTATTTCATCACTCATGTGGGTGTGTTTGGATATCAAGGCGATTTTTTTTGTAGTGTTTTTTAGAAAAACACCATGCCAAGGTGTTTCTTTTTCAAAAGTGTTTTGAAAACACCATTGTTAGTTACTATTATATAGCGGCGGTGGCGGGCGGGTGGTCGGCGGCCGGCCGACGGGCGGCGGA